ACTAAATTAATGAATCCCACAGGAACCGTAACTATTCCCGGAATAAAAAGTACCCTATGTGTTCTTCCAGACTATGCTCTAAACCTGTGCCAAATTTCATGGAGATCCGTTCAGCCGTTTAGGCTACAAACGCTAACAAACATCCATCCATTCATCCATCCTTCCATCCATCTAAACTTTCGCATTTATAATATTAGTTTATAATATTAGTAAGATTGTTAGTGCGAGCGCACACCTTTGACTGAACCATCCCACAAATGTGCGATTGTCGATTGTTTCGCAGTCAATTCAACTGTTTAGTTGCACAACTAAAAATCGAGTAGTGTGCACCTCCATAAGCTCATAGGAATCAAAGCGTGACTAAACAGTTGTGCGATAGTTTAGTTTCAGGTGTGTGCACGCTTATCTATACTATTATAATAAAGCGTAAACACACACTACTTTGTTGCCTAAGATTTTGACACATGTAAACAATAAAATGAAATTTTTATAATTTCACGCGGATGTAGTCGCATGGGAACAGCTAGTAATTGGTACTTTAATTGTTAAAGTTATATCTATAGAACAGTTATGATCAGTACTTGTATGTAAGTTGTTTTCGGTAACTTAATCTTTGGACAAGACGACACTTAATTCCGTCCTACCGTGTTCTGCATAACTTGACATTTAGCGATATGCAGTTTCGTCAGATATCATGTCAACAGGATATACCTTATCCATAAACTAATTCGTATATCTTACTAATATTATAAATGCGAAAGTTAGATGTTTCTTAGAGTTTGTAGCCTAAACTAGTTAACGGATCTCGACCATATTTGCCATAGGTGTAGAGCAAAGTTTAGAAAAAACACATAGGCTTACTTACTTTATTTTTCTTTTCCCACTAGGACGGAGTCGCGGGCAAAAGCTAATTGAAAAATGTTGCTTCGAGAACTAGAAGTTCAGCAACATTGTGCATCTTGGTTACGATAAAATACGTCAACTATGTAGATAACATATGAATCACGCAGTACAGTTTTAACATAGATAATTTAATAATAATATTTGCCACATCCAAACGAGATCCTTATGAATACGAGTATGTCGTGAAACCAGATACGTTTCAAGTAGCGGAGTTTAACGGGACTAAGCGCCTGTCCCACCAAATTGTAAATTGTCTGATAACAATCGAACGTGTAATATTGGATTTTGTTACCTTGACTGACAGTGTCGTCATTTTTAAGCTATTTGAGCCTCTATCAGCCAGTGGTGGGACAGGCCCTAAACATCGATAGGTAAAATAAGATTGCACAGATTACAAATATTCTTGACAGCAAAATTGCTGCAAAAAGTTTGAACAGATAAAGAAGAAATAAAATTAGAAGCGTTAATTGAAATCTCTAAACTATTAAAAAGGCAACAAAAACGCGCGTATCAGTAATTCATTTTCATTATCTAAATACTAGCTTTCGCCTGCGACTACGTCCGCGCGGAATAAAAACAAAAGTAAGTAGCCTATGTGTTCTTCCAGACTATCCTCTACATCTAAGTATGTCAAATTTCATCGAGATCCCTTCAGCCGTTTAGGCTACAAACTCTAACATCCATCCATCTAAACTTTCGCATTTATAATATTAGTATGAAGTATGTTAATAATTTAAATAAAAATGTTTATGATAAACCGAGATATGTGATCAAAAAATCATGGAATCGTCGCCGATCATCGAACTTTTAATCATTGAAACTAATCATGTATCGCAGCTTTACTTGGTTTCATTAAGAATTTGAGATTATCAAATGTTTTATATAATGTACAAAACGATAAATTAAAACAAATTACGAATATTACGAGATTAGTACTTGAATAATTGTTCTATGAATGTAAAAAATGCTTGCCTGATAAAGAAACATTGTTAAAATGATTTAAAAGACACAAATAGACAGAAATCGAAGCAATCAATGTAAGTAATACTTTAAAACATATGTCCACATAGTTTCGAGAAACGGAAATATCAGTGGTTAGGAAGTTTCGCAATTTAATTGAAGATTATTTGCATACACTTTTGTATTAAATATTTTAATCATAGTTATTTTTGACCGACTTCCCAAAAGAAGGAGGTATTCAATTCGACGGTATATTTTTTTAATTTTTTTTTTTTTTTTATGTGTGTTACGGCATAACTCCACCGCTAGTGGACCGATTTGGATAATTCTTTTTTTATCCGAAAGGTAATGCTTGCAGGTGGGTCCCATTTTTTTGTTTAATTTTTGGAGTC